TGCAGCTTTTAATGGGTCCAACCACGTTTAAACTTTTTAAAATTTTACTTAAACCTTTAGTTTACCAGGAAATAAATCCGTTGAGATTATTAATCTCTTTTACAAAGATTTACTGGGAATAATATACTTCCTCATAGCAAATTTATGATGTAGAGAGAATTTCTGGAACATTCTTCTTATTGCTTGTAGAAACGTTCTGTGTTTTATTTCCTGCAGATTGCATTGACAAGTTGCTGCTCCGACAGTGGTTTATGTTAAAATCTTTGACAAGCTTCCAACATTAGCAGATCCATGTCTCAGAGATTGTTTTAATGAAGCGGTGCAGCATGTTTAATTAGGAAGGCGCTTTAAAGATACTTGTTACAGTTTGGTGGATCGAACAAAAAAAAAAAATCATGAAGTAACAAACTTAATTTGTGCATATTTTACATGATATTAACAGTTGATGTGTCCCTAATTTGATTAACTGTAAGTTAAAATTGTAACAATCCCGTGTTTACCTACGGAAATAGTTAAAGTGACTGAAAATGTAGCTAACGTTAAAGTTTAAAGTCTATCTGAAGTCCTGCAAGTGTTTGAACGCCGAGCTCTGCCTTTACTGCGCTGCAACGCTCTGCTCGATCCCCGAAGTTCATTCACGACAGTTGTCTTCCACGTGCTTTTGCTTTTCTGTTGCGTTTAACAGCCGGTTCTTTTATTTCCAACTAAACGTCTCTGAGGTTCTGCGCTTGTCTGATTCCACCATATTTGCTTTACCTGCACAGACCTCAGCCGGCTAAATGTGGATCATTCAATCAGGTGACTCGAGCTTCAGCGTCAGCCGAGTGTTTTGTTGACATCGAACGCGTACCCTCATTTCAGAATTTAATTCAGTATTACAGGAAAACTACTGGAGTACACTGTTTGAAACTGCTCCACTTGATGGAGTTCAGGATAACGTTTTATGTTTGACATCACACTTTGAAATAAATACCTTTAATTCTATAACACTGGTCAATTTTAGACCAGTTTCAAAACCCAAAGATAACAGTTTAACTCTAAAGGTTCACATTATTGACAGAATCTTGTGTTTTAGTGAAAACATCAATAATCCATTTAAAGTTAGGTTTGTAAAGGCTTTTATTTGTTCTAGCCGTCACTGAAATAACGTTGGAAGCTCATTATTTAGATGTTATTGCTTGACTTGCCTTGGTTTTCTCGAGCTCATCTGTGCGTGCGTTTGTGTAGGAGAACAGGGTCCTTGTCTTTTGGATCTTGATTTACACACTGCCTTAAAGTTGCGTGTTTGTAAAAGGCCAGCTGCACTGCCTGGTTACCCTGACACGACGTGCTCTATATGCAAGCTCCTGCACAACGCTCGGACTGTTTCTCAGCCCCCGTGTCTTTGTGTGAGGACCAGCCTGCAGGCTTTAAGATACACCACACAGAACTTTCTGAGGGGCAAACTAAATTCAAACGTTATGGCGTGATGAAATTTCTGAGGCACAGAAATATGAGATCTTTATTCTCTCCTTCTGGGCATAAAAATCAAAGAAAATGGTCAGAAATGGCTGTTTTTGAATTGATTTCTTTGAAAACTTGGTTTGGGATTTTTAACATCTCTCGACTGCTGCAGCGCATGAAAATCAGATCATATTAGTTAAAAATACTCATTTTCAGCAACCTTTATAGAAAAGTACAATGTAATAAAAACTTGCACACTCAAAAAAAAAAAAAAAGAAACGTTGTGGGAAATAATTTTGAGCAACACTCTCCCAATTTTCTCCCAGTCATAGCTTAATTTTTAACTGCATGTACCAGATTAGGTCCTTCACGTTTATTTGTTTAAGCCAAGAAAATGATCAGTAACCACCGCACTTACGCAAATGGAAAGACGAGGACAAAACTGACAGTAGAAACGCTACGATAATATCTAATTCTGCATAATACCTCTGAAATTACTGAACTTGTGGAATTATATATTTTCTGTTCCACTGCAACATATTTATTCTGTGATATTAAATTTCATCAACAAACTTCTATTAATTAATAAGAAAAGTGTTTTGATTATAGCTTATAAAGCTTTTCAAGCTTATTTGAAGCAATATTTAAAACAATTTTTCTTAGTGAAACCTAAACTTTTGATAAATGAAAGTCCCAGCATGCCTTAAGCATATACAGTAGTCCCCTCGCCACTTCGCGGTTCGTTTATTGCCGATTCACTCTATCGCAGTTTTTCAAAATAAGATTAGACATGAAACACAATTGGCTGATTGATGGATGAGCCGCACGATCAGCATGGAATTTTCATTTAAAATAAGTTATTTTTAATTATTTAGCACCTGCTGCAACATTTG